CTACATCCATCATATGGATGGGTATACAGCACACCAATTTGTCCGGTTATCTTGATGTCCCTCTTGAGTAACTTATGACTGAGATTATTTAGGATCTGTGTTTAAAGGCGAATCAGTCTCAATATCGTGATCTCATCATGATCCGATTCCCATTGTACAGATCTATGGATATCACAATATATTCAAGAAATAAGTAATATAAAGTGAATAAATATCAAATAATAATAATAAGCAAAAGGACTGCATGTCAAGTCACACGTGTCATCACTCATGTAATTGGCTTACAGGGCACCTATGACTAACAATCTCTCACTTAACCTAAAGTCAATCACCTCTTTGTTTGATCCCCATCAAACCCTAGTGATGCTCAAAGATAATATGAGATAATGGCTTTGTCAGTGGATCTGCGATGTTATCTTCAGATGGAACTCTTTCCACTACTACATCTCCTCAAGCCACAATCTCTCTAATAAACTGGAACCTCCTCAGAACACTTCTGATGAGACACATTTTCTCTCATTTGAGCAATCGCCCCGTTGTTATCGCAATATAAGGGAATCGACTCCTCGTTGCCCAACACGACTCTCAGATCTGTGATGAACTTCTTCATTCGAACTCCCTCCTTTGCTGCCTCTACTGTAGCAATATACTCCGCTTCTATGGTCAAGTCAATAGTAGTGTCTTGCTTAGAACTCTTCCAGCACATTGCTCCTCCATTCAGGGTGTACACATACCCTAAATTCGAGTTGCTATCATCGACATCAGACTAGAAACTCGAGTCTATGTAGCCTTCAACCCTGAGGCTACTACCTTCATATGCCAATAAAAGATCCTTAGTCTTTCGTAAGTACTTAATGATACACTTTACTGCTTTCTAGTGCTCCAAGCCTAGATATGCCTGATACCTGCTCGTGACACTTAGAGTATGCACTATATCAAGCTTAATACATAGCATGACATGCATGATAGACCCTATCGCTGAGGCATAGGGTATCCTATCCATGTTCGCGCTTTCTTTAGGAGTCTTTGGGATATACTCCTAGAAAGTGATATCCCATGTTTCATCGGTATAAGACCTCTCTTAGAATTTTCCATGGCAAACCTTTTGACAATGGTGTCTATGTACCTAGACTGGGATAAGCCAAATATCCTCTTGGATCTATCTCTATAGATCCGAATCCCCAAGATATAGGATGCTTCCCCTAAGTCCTTCATGGAGAAGTGTTTGAATAACCAAGCCTTTACTATAGATAGCATTTCCTACATCATTCCCAATGATCAGGATGTCATCTACATATAACACCAAGAAGGTGATAGTGCTCCTACTTACCTTCTTGTACACACAAGGCACATCTTCATTCTTAATGAAGTCATAAGATCTAATTGTCTCATCAAATCTTATGTTCCAACTTCGGAAAGTTGCTTTAGTCCATAAATGAACCTAAGCAACCTACATACCTTATCTGGGTAGTCCTTGGACACGAATCCCTCAAGCTGTATCATATACACCTCTTCCTCGAGGTTGCCATTGAGGAACGCAGTTTTCACGTCCATTTGCCAGATCTCATAATCATAGTGTGCTGCAATAGCCAATAGAATTCAGATGGATTTTAACATGACAACGGGTGAGAAAGTTTCGTCATAGTCAACACATTGCCTTTGATGATACCCTTTATCCACTAGCCTTGCTTTATAGGTCTCTACGTTTCTATCTACTTTAATATTCTTCTTAAAGATCCACTTGCAACCGATGGATACAATACCCTTGGGTGCATCAACTAGGTTCCAAACCTTGTTGGAGTACATGGAATCCATATCAGAATTCATGGCTTCTTATCACTTCTCGAAGTCTATACTCGTAATAACGTCCTCGTAGGTTTGAGGATCAATATCCTTAATATCTTCTCCTCTAATATGTTCCACATATCTCTTAGGAGGATGAGATACTCTACCAGATTTACGTAAAGTCAAAACTTGTGTGTTAGGTACCTGAACAGACTCGGTCTGTGGAGTGGTGTTTAAGTTAGGTTCTCCAACCTCACTCAACTCTATCAAGCTCTCATTGTCTTCGCCAAGAATGTGTTCCTTCTCAAGGAATATCGCTCTCTTAGCTATAACGACCTTTTGGTCCTCGGGATGATATAAATAATACCCATAAGTTTCCATAGGGTATCCCACGAACTTGCATCGCTCCATCCTCGATTCTAATTTATCAGGATTGTATCTTTTAACGTGGGTAGGGCAGCTCTAAATCTTAAAAACCTAAAGATCAAGCTTCTTCCCTTTTTATATCTCATATGGTGTAGACACTACCGATTTAGTTGGAACTCTGCCAGAAGGTAAGCTGCGATCTCTAGGGCATATCCCCAAAATGAGATGGGTAAGTCAGTGAAACTCATCATGGGCCGCACCATGTCTAATAGTGTACGATTCCTACTTTTAGATACAGGATTGAGCTGAAGTGTATAAGGAGGTGTCCATTGGGATAGAATCGCATGGTCCTTGAGGAACTGGGTGAACTCTGTACTTAAGTACTTACCTTCTCAATCTGATCGAAGAGTCTTGATACTCTTTCTAGTCTGGTTCTCCACTTCATTCTTATACTCTCTGAATTTCTCAAAGACCTCAAACTTGTACTTCATAGTACACATGTCCATACCTTGAGAAATCATCAGTAAAAATAATGTAACCACATATGACATGAGTTGACATGGGTCCACATACATCACTATGTACGTGTTATAATAGCTCAGTAGCTCTCTCTCCAGTTCCACTAAAAGGAGAGTTGGTTAGTTTTCCACGAAGGCAAGACTCACAAGTTGTAGATGATTCATAATCGAATGGATCTAGATATCTAACCTTTAGCAACTTTTGGATCATTCCCTCATGGATGTGACCTAGCCTACAATGCCACAAGTATACACTGTTCACCTCATCTCGTTTCCTCTTGGACATATTTACATTCATGATATGTGGAGTAGTGTCTAGCGTAAACAAACCATTATGCAATGTTCCTCTCATGATGTTCTCATCATCTAATAATATTGAATAACTATTGTTCTAAAAAATTAATTTATATCCACTAACTATCAAACATAAAATGGAAATAATATTTTTGATAATAGAAAGAATAAAATAGAATGCATCTAATGCAATAATAGGTCCATCAGGCAGATGTGGGGTGACCTCGCCACAACAACCACTATAATAACTTTTGCTCCATTGCCTATTTTGTAGTCCATCTCACCTCTCACCAATCTCTTAGGTCTTGCTAGAACCTGCAATGAATTACAGATGTGATAAGCACTACCGGTATCCAATACCTATGTGTTATCATAAGATTCTAACAAATGAAGACTAATCATGAATGTTAAAATAGCTTTTGTTTTGCCCTCTCTGTAAGGTACTCTTTGTAGTTTCTCTTCCAATGCCCATCTTTGTCGTAGTGGAAGCATTGACCTTTGTCCTTTGTTGGGTCTTTTTTAGCAACCTTTGCTTTACCCGGTCTGCCCTTGCCCTTGCACTTCTTAAGGGACTTTTCTGTTTTCCTTTTCTTTCTGGTCGCACCAATATAGAGAATTGGCTTCTCTTTCTTAATAATGCTCTCTGCCTCCCTCAACATATTGAGGAGCCCAGGGAGAGTCACATCAAGCTTGTTCATATTAAAATTCATTATAAATTATGAAAAAGAATCTGATAGGGACTGAAGCACAAGATCCACACACAAGTTATCTATCCTCCAGGACCATTCCTAGATTTGTAAGTTTCTCTATCTACTCAATCATCTTTAGGACATGATTTTGAACCGGTGTCCCCTTACTCATCCTAGTGCGGAAGAGGCTCTTAGATATCTCATATCGCTGAGTCCTTCCTTGTTCCTTAAACAATTTACGAATATGTAGGAGAATATATCTGACATCCATTTTTTCATATTGTTTTTGTAACTCAGGAGTTATGAAACCCAACATATAACACTGAGCAAGAGTGGAGTCATTTATGTACTTCACGTAGCGAGCGATCTCATCCTCGCTTGCCCCTTCCTCAAGCGTTTCATCACTGTATCAAGGATATACATGATTTTCTCTACCGTGAAAATAATTCTCAAGTTACGGAGGTAATCTATATAATTCAGACTAGTGAGGCAATTGACATCAAGTATGCCACGCAAGGGATTTGAAAACGATATTTTCTGAAAATAAAGATGAAAATAAATAACATACAGATTTTACAAAATAAAATCTGGTATGGTTGACTACCACTCCCGATGACCGACTGTACTAGATTTGGAACCTCCATACCTATAAGTTTGATATCAATGAGTAGAGTACTGATACAAGAATGTCTCAAGTTTAAGTAATGATATTCATACACCATTGTAATGACATAAATATCATATATTTTACCCTATAATATCTAAATAATAAAAACATAATTAATTTTATTCTTTTTTTATGTTTATGTCATTGCCCATTATGTAGATTGTTGCTGCTAACGTTGTTTTGATCGTGACCGCATTACCCGAGGCCATGGTGAAGCTTGGATTTATCTTGACGGTCATAGTGACTGACTCGACACTCTGCACACTATGGTTCAGTCACTATGGCAGTGTGCACCCTCGACTTGACATAGGTTACCCCTCCCACTCCAATTTTGGCATCCTGGATTTGTTGCACCTCACTCGTAGCACTCTTAACAGGAATAACTATCCTCTCTTGGTGCCACAGAAATCTTTATGTGGACCATTTCTATCGTGTCCGGGCAGTTGGTATCACTTGTTGGAGCCACATATCATAGTTTTGCAGTATCTCGTGGGGTATCAAACTTTCTGTTTCATGTAACATCTGTATGAACAATAGGTGTTGGAAAAAAGAGAAAAAAAAAAGATAAGTGGACTAATAAATTCATTGCTGCAAGCAAGCAAAGTAAAACAATAGGATTGACCTAAGCATAATGAAGTACAGAGTAATAATTGCGCCTAAGAAAAAGAACCGTACAAACAGTTGGGACAAACAGTACACATCTACAATTAAGAAAAATAATCGTATAAACAGTACACATCTACACAGCTGGGTACAAACAGTTTACATCTACTACCGAGAGACAAAAAAAATACGCTGATGAAAACTTAAAAGCTTCCTTTCCAGATCCGTTGGGAAGGCATATTAAAAAAAAAAATAGAAATAATGCTATGTTGATGCCCTACAATATATGGAAGGATTATTGTTTTACATTATTGTTGGCGCCCTTATGGAAAGGCCACAGATTAACCAAGCGTTCAAAGACTCCTGCACTCTTGGAGAAATAACCTGAAAAGGCCTGGGGAGTTGCGGGGGGTGGGAAGTCCTCTGCGGGCATTGCAAATGGGTGGATCATTTTCTCAAACTGGTCGAGTGTCAAGTAGGACCCTGCTTCCTGCAGCCTCTCAGGTCCCATTATGGGGAGAGTGTGCTCTTGATGAAGCAACGCGGCATCCCCATCATGACTCTGCATTATAGAAGAGGGGAACTTCAATGAGTTAGCAATTTTTTCATACATGAGAAGCTCAACTACATCCTTGAATAATTAGTATTGCTTCCTGGATACACCAAAGGAGATTAGCAGATTACCTCTAGAGGACTTAGATCTGCACCTCGACTGAATGTCATCTCCATCCGAAACCGTTTTGGATCTTCTAATGCCACCTGAGATTGAATGATCATAATTAATGCAAAAATATCACATTGATAATCGTACACACGCTCTGAGATTCAATGAAGCATGTCATGGGCATTAAGGATGAATGAATATACACACACTTCTGTAAAGTTATTCTGCCATCCCGACTGACATATTGAAAAGTGATGACTGGAGTCCACCTGGGTGAATATAGATCCTTCTATAAATACCTGAGAATTGTATAAGTTTCATATATTTTTACAGGGAGGTTAACCAGTTGGCTGACTGGCAATTTTTGGCCATCACAGGCATGACTTGGCTCAAACACTGCATTAGTTAAAATTTTGGACTTTCGCCCTATATATTCTTTGTATGCGGCATTTTGCTAGAAAACCTTTTTCATAAAATCATCCTAAGAACAAATACATAATCCTAATAGTAACAGATTCTAATCAATATTAGACTTTCTAACAGCTCTGTGTGATAAAGAGTTTAAACAAATGCTGATATTTCATGGGATATCCATTATCTTGTTCCAATTGCTATGGATGCCAGACACGGAAGTAGAACCAAGAGACATGTTGCCATGTCTGTTATCTGCCAGGAGTTCCAAGAAAAGTCTTAATACACTCAAAATACCTACTGTTGAACTCAACACAAGGAGTAACAGACATCAGAATGAAAGTTCCTACTGCATAAATATTGAGCTTTTAGTTTTGCCTATATAAAAGTTTATTATGTAGAAAATTCCAGAAAGTAAAATGTAGCATGTGCTAAAGTCATTACTTTGGTAGCATCTATTGATTCCTGTCAATAAAATTAAATCAAATAGGATTTCATCCTATACCTTTACTAATGTTTCCAAGGTCTACAGGTGATTTATTCGAAGAATAAAACAAAAAAAGGATTCAAGTACTTGTTTTGTACTCCACCAAATAACAAAGGTCATCATTTTTGCTAATCTTTAATTTTTAAGCCTTATCAACAGATTCTGAAGGACCTATGACATCTCAAACTAGAAGAACCCAACATGAGAAAAAAAGGACACAAGAAATCCCAATGCGTTAATCTTCATGGAAAGGCTATCCTATTCCATTAAATCAAGTAGGTACACAAAAGCATATCAATTTTGACAAAGAACTTATATACCTCAGTATTCTCAAACATTCTCAGGACTATGTAACTCATGTAGTCAAGTTCCTTAGTTTTGAATACACGCTCTAGCGCGCTAGTGCAAACAAGGCTATCCTCTCCTTGAAGGGTCTCATCCAGATTGCAATAGCGAAGTACATTCATTAGAGAATGTATATGAGATTCCTGTCATAAAATTAATGTAATAGTTAGATGACATATATGACATCAAAGGTGACAATGGATGACCATGAATAAAAACAGAGCACACACCAGGAATACCTGAACTAAGTTGTCTAATGTCTACCACTTCACTGATATTGAGATTTCTTAAACATTATAAATATCAAAAAGCAAAATGGTAATCTCATGGCAACATTGCAGTACCGATTTGTTTTTGATATTACAATACTGATACAGAACTCGAATATAAGCAAGTCCTTGTATGGTACAACTAGGTCAAGAAGCTAAAAGGTGCAATGACTGGTATATGACATCAGTAGTACAGTACAATTAAATCTGACAAGGTTAGGTTAAAACTTGAGATAGAAAAGGGGGAAAAAAAGATCACAGTTGCCAAGGTGCTAACCCATGACAACAGGCGCATATACAAGGGCCTGCCAACATGATATTGCAAAACTAGGTCACAACTATTTGGAGTCAGTTACATGAAGTTTTTTATGCCTTTTTAATCCAGATTTATTTCCAAAAGTTCAATCCAATTTCAGTCCATTCTAGACCTTATTGGTGGATTTGCCAGAAATTAGCCAGAAACATCCAATGGACAGGAATGAGATTTTGATGAATTGGAAAACAAAAAAAATATTAAAAAATGGTGAAGTGTTTGACTTCCCATATTCATTTCTTTTACGTTAGTGTGTTCCATATATCATCAACTAAAAAAAAAAAATCTGTACATGGTAGATCATCATCTTTACTGCAGAATGATAAAAAGATTTCAACTCAGTATTCTAATCCATTATTTAACATAAAGAATAAACAAAAACCTTTGTAACTCATTTTATTAAGATAATGAGAATGCACAAAAAAAAAGAGAAGTAAAAAATAGTAAACAAAGTAAAACTTTAGTTTGCTTCTTGGGAATAGAGCCCATTAAAAAGAAATAAGATCAAGAAAAAAAAATTCATTTGCTTCTTGGGATTGTTGATCCACCTGGAGAACTACCACTAGGTAGTCCTAGGAAGCTCCTCAGCATCAGGATTGATATCAATGATTTAACATTGGTTAGAAAGTTGGAGAGCCAAGGCCTAATAAAAAGCCAAAGTTGACTCCTCCCAAACTGTTATCCAAAGGCAGTACACAAAGGTAACTCCTTTCCCCAACCAACGTGGGAATAAATGTGATCCAATCAGTATAATAATACAAAGGTGACATACCAATTACCAACTTGTATTGCCCAATACCATATAATATAATGCAAAATAACATTACCTAGACCTAACTGCCTATGTCCTTTGATGAGTTTAGAAAATGTCTATCATCATGGTAGCACTAACCCTCTACTCCTAGCACTGTAGTAGAACCCTAGATCCAATACAAGGGCATACCTAGTGCACAAGGTTCTTGCCAAGTCTAAGGAGGATCAATATATGCAGCCTTACCTTTAAATATTTAAAGAAACTATTTCCATGATTGCCATCGTCTCCCAAGTGGCAAGGAAGCAACCTTATCATTGTACCAAAGCCCACCCTCAGAACCCTAGATCCAAGCTAACTAAAATTTCTTTGTCCAAAGTGAAGTAATACCCTAGTTCTTATGATATTAAAATATTTATACACTGAGAAGAGCGAACTTGAGTCTCTAGAGCCAAAAAAGAGAAAAAGAGGAAAAAGAGGTGCAGCTAGTGCATGAGAAAGGTCAATGCACACAACTTTACCATTGTAAGTTGTGACTTAAACCGTTGCCATTATGAGGTGCATGAGGTTTTTGTGACTCAATCCTCTAGTCATCCAGGTTGCAAAGGAGCAGTCTTACAATAGTAGCTCACCCTTTATTAGCACCACAGAACGAGAAGAATTAATCAGTCTGAAGCTAGCAGTCAATAGAGACCTCACCTTGGTGAAACCTGTGTTGGCAATGACTCTTAACTACCATAAACTAAATTAGATATTGAACAAATTAAAATGGATGATGCACAAGCTAATATTAACTTGACACAGTCCAAGAAAATATTAGCATATATAACTGAAGTAAATTGGAAAAAGGCATGTACCCACCGATGTGAAATAAAGTCTTGTACGAACATGTCGTTCAGGTGTTTTCACATTGGCATACCTGAAATGGAATGGAAAATTGAGAATGCTAAAATAATTCAAAAGATTCTATGATACTGAAAAGAGTTTATGATAGAAACTTTGGATCTAAGCGATATTTGGTCTCTCTATCATCATCATCATCTTGGTCTAGTGACTTTTCACTTGTTGTGCTTGATCTTCTTGGATCTTCATTCTTGTTCAGAGACCTAACTTGGTATTCTGTCTCCTCCTTCCTTGTCTTGGCAAACGTTGATGTTGGTGGCTCCTGACTGCCTTTTAGTTCCGCAACACTAATTGCTTCTTCTCGAGTATTACGCAGATCAATTAAGATTTTACCCAACAAACGACGAGCAATCTGAACTAAGAAAATATTAGGTAATCACACATATAAGAATTTGTAGCATTTGAAGGAAATGGCACAGCAAACCAGATTTTTCAAACTAGCAGAATTCATCTATAACATGCATATGCTGGTCAGGATTTTGCTAAACAGTGATTGCTTCCTCTGCGATGTATCTTTTTAAAAGTTTTGATTTTTGTATTTATTTTGTTCTCGAATCACCAGGCCAGATAGCTCGCTGTCACCTCAAAATAAAAAGAAAAATCATGCTGATCCATGTAAGTTGACCAGCAACAATTAGACCCAAAGCAATACCACCATGAATTGTGCCGGTGAATTATCAATGCCACTCTTGCAAATCCACTTTGATAAGGATAAGCACTTATTTTCCCTTTCTTTCCCTCAATAAAAGTGTGCCTTGGCACGTGGCCAGGAATATTGTTCACATAGATTTCCTAGCAGATTATACATTGCTTCAACAAAGTTACTCTTTCTATCAAAACTCGATATCTTTCTAGTCTTCATTTTAATGTTTGCTACAAGTTATTACCGATTTGCATGTACAGGAATATAATGTCCTTTATTTTTCTTACCATCTAATTGTTGATTGTTTCCAACATGTGAAGCTACTTTCATCAGCAGGCTTTTTTTGGTGAATAGAGAAATAGAAAAAGAGCAAAAAAGGACTTTCGAAAAGTAACTAGCAGACTTAGCAGAATTGCTTTGACACAAGGAGTAACTCCTAGGAATGAAGGTATTGCACCTTTGTATGCGCACGTGGACAATGGATTGATACCATCAAAAGAATAAATGTGGGCTCATACTATTCACACATAATGTGAGAAAAGGACTCATTCATGAGCCACGGGAAGTTCGTCGCTCCACTTCTGACTTCATATGGTTCAATTGACTGGGAACAACGGTAACTTCTTTCCTTCAGCTCTATCTCCCCATCTGTGAAACCTTCATCTATGATCTTAAGGACAACTCCTTTCTCTCATTTTATAGATACCAAGTACAAAAAATTGAAAACTACAAAATTAGAGAAAGATTACAGTTATATTAAAGCAAATCAATCAGCTACTCTTTCCTTCTCCAAAAAAGATTAGCTTTCACATTCAGTTTGAAGAAGAATGTTCCTTTCTAATGATACATTGGATAGAATTTAAACCTCTCAAAATCAACTCTATATCTAAGATTTAATAGTATTCCAACAGCTTAAGCTAGATTACTGTTGTCGTTAATCACGTTTATAATTTATACTGGTAGGAAAATAGTTATAATTGATACTTAGGTTAAAGTACAGATAGGATGGAATTTGTGGCATTATCATTCATATCAATTTCTAATCAGCTTCTAATGTAGGGTTGGTAGACAGAAGCCGAGGGAGTGTTAGAACCCTTGCATATTCTAAACTTGGGGTTGATCTCTTTAGGGGATCGGCCTCCTTGGAACTCTATAGGGGTTCCTCCCTTCAAGTTGCTGCTCAAAGGCTGCAGAAAAGATTCATCTATTGCTTAAGAAAAGAGAAGGAATATATGACTATTTATAGGGCTTCTAAACCCC